GAAACCAAGTTCAACATTACCGCAATGTTCTCGATAATCTCACAAACTTTGAGATTGATTTTATCAACAAACGCAGGGAATCACTCCAAAAAACGGATCAAAAGAATAACGATAAACGTGATGATTTCTTGACGATGCTTCTAACTCAAAACAATGATGCAGATTCTTCAACAGATATCATAAAACAGAACATTCGCGAAATGTTTAGTGCCGGTACTGGCACTACCACAAGTGCTCTTTGCGCTGTGGCTTACTTGCTTGCCAAGAATCCGGAATGCGAAGAGCGCATGGTCGACGAGCTGTTCAGTGTTCTTGGGAAGGATAGAAACATCGAGCCTGCTGATCTCCCCAAGTTGACATATACCGAGATGGTAATTAACGAGACGATGCGATTGTATCCTGTGGTGCCTCTGACATACCGATACAGCCCAGACACAGAACTTAAAATTGGGGAATATGTCTTTCCACCCAACACAATTTTCACAATCAATCTTGCTCACATGCATCGAAATCCTCAATACTTCCCCAATCCTACCGTATTCGATCCTGAGCGATTTGCTGGTAATTGGAAAGAACGATATCATCATGCATTCTCGCCTTTCGGTCAAACTATAAAAGCATGTCCTGGCAAAAACTTTGCAATGGCGGAGATGAAGACTATTCTGGCTCAGGTATATCGCAAGTATACGTTCAAGCTAGTCAAGCCTGATGATCCACTTCATTTTAAGTTCTCGTTAGTCAATGATATTAGTAAGTTAGAAGCATATCTCGAAGAACGCAAGATTTAACAAGGAGTCAGTTGACATTTGTAATTTGGATTTTTACTTTTTGTTTGAGAAGGCCTTATTGTTGTATATATATTGTGTAATAACTTTACTTTGAACTTTATATAATAAAAGTAATGTATAATGATGAAAAATCGTCAGTGCAAAACACGCGCAATAGCTGATCACTTATGACGTTTACATGCTGTTGTATAATTGAGGCGTTTGAGACAATTGTTTTAAATAATTTAGAAACTATAATACAAATATCTCATGCTGGCGACGTCTATTTCATCAGCATCGGTATGGATTTATTCAATTTTGTTTGCGCATGTCTATGAATTTATGATTGATTATTAATTATGGACAGGCTAAACGCTACGCCAAGAAAAGTTATTATTGTAAAGTCAAATAACCAAGAGCATTTGCAGAGTATTGGTTTGGATTTTGGACTAGTACAGGAAGCCCTGTTATAATTTCATTAGAAATTTGGGATGATGGCAAGAACTGAAGCAACTCATTGAAACGGGACTTCTTTTGAGATCGAAGGAAGTTGGTTTCTGCTAAAAGAAAAAGGGTTTACATATATACTTCAAGAATATTATATAATATCCGTTTGCTTGTCCACTGCGTGTTGTAAAGTATACTCGGTATGTTTTAAAAATATAAACAAAGGCTAGTACAGTGAATAGTAGAGTCCAGTCTACTCGAGACAAGATTTCATTTCGGAGATGTGTTATGATTGACATTTTCTGTTATGATATTACGGTGTTTGACGGAATTTGGGGAGAGAGCAAGTCTCTCTTATTAATCATTTGCTTGACAATTGTTCAATACTTTTAACATTGTGTGCCCGTTTGTATTGTCTTGGTCGGTTTAGTATTGTGAACGTGCATCCCATTGTCCATTGATCTTATCATTGTTGACGATCACCTCACAACAATATACAAATTGTTACACACACATATTTGGTGATATTGTTGTGATAAAGATAGTATGGATAAAAAGTAAAGATGTGTTGATTCGATTGGACGCCATATTCGATATTACGCAATAATAATAATAACAATTTAACACTGAATATCTTTTTATCCTGGAATGTATATCGAATATTATATTTGCAAACGTGATCAGTATTTATGCACACGTGAATGTTCGCAGATAATAATAAAGCATTGTTCGTTCTAATGAAAGGATCTGTCATGTTATAATACTACCCAAAAGCGGACAAGACCCGGTGCTCGGTATGTCTTCATTAAAATTGCAATCGTTCTTCTGCGTCGAAGATTTGACTATTGTATTTCACACGCTTTGCAATAACAGGTATATGGTTCATTAGAAAACGTCCTGCTGCAAGTTAGCATTTTTAATTTGAATAATCATTTAGAGACGAGCAAGTAAACAATCAATCACTCTCTCCCGTTCTATCTGCTAAATAAAGATGTGATGCACCGTATGCATTAACTGAATAAAAGCCATTTATGCCAGCGTCTTTTTTTTTTTTTTCAGATGATTACTTATAATGTGGGCATGCAAATTTCTAATACGAATCTCACCAATCGGAGTGAAATGTGATATATCGATGTTAAATAAACGTCTCTCAAAAGGGAATGAAACTTGGTCTAATGCAAAAAATGTCTATCTGCAAGGTTCATGAAATGACATCCGATGATAAGCCACCCGTGGTTCTATTTTGTCTTTGAACATATTTAAGTAATACTATAAGACTAGCCGGCGTCATACCTTCTACTCTCTTAGCCGCTCCCTGCACGTTGAATAAATTACGTGAATACGGATACAGAGATTTGAATAATTAATAAGCAGCATTGACGATCATAATTTGTTCTTACCAAAGTGGGTGGCCTTATCGTTTTCAACTTTGTCCTTGCTTCTGTAGAGAGATTATGAATCCTACATAGGATTGAAAGATATAACAATCGGTCATTAACGGCCACAAAAAAAAGTTCTACTTTGTCTAAATCAACTACCTGTCATAATCAATGTCTTCTGGGAGCATTAACTCTTCGTCACGTCGAAACGCACGTATATCAGCCTCTTGCTTGTCTAAAAATGTCCTATACCTGCCTGTAATAGTAGTATTGAATTGAAAAAATGACAAGTTATGACGCTTCCGATACAAAATGCATCAAGGTTGAATTTCTTACTCTCAATAGCTATCCTTTCTCGTATTGTTGGGGGTATCTCGGCAAATTTTGGAACGATCTCGGTCAATCTTCTCATTGACATATCCTTGGCTGTTAATATCTCGTAAGCGCTATAAGGATATGTATACGTTCATGTAAGCGAGTCGCGTTTGACAGCAGATTTGTCGTAAATCAGGTCGATTATGATATATACTTTCTCTTTACACCATCGAAATTAATCTTGACACCAAGTATATCCCATTTCTGAGGGGGTAATTCAAACTCTTTCATTTGTCTGACTCCGTCTAGGAGCAACTCCTCCGTTTCTCGGAAAACTTTTAATCGTTGTTCTGATACGCAATGTCCCTCTTTGTAACCTTGTCAAAAAAAGAAAAAGAATTCCAATGAGATAAACGTTACTATCGTCAACATGATCGAGTATAATTAATACCTTTTCGCGTTAACCTAGTATCTGCGTTATCGGCACGCAATGATAGCCTATATTCGGAACGTGAAGTGAAGATTCTATAAGGTTCTTCGACGCCTTTAGTTATTAGGTCATCTATTAATACACCAATGTAAGCATCGGCCCGAGATAGGATAAATGGCGGCTTGTTTTGGGCGGCAAGTCCAGCATTTATGCCGGCCATGATTCCCTACAAATGTAAATGAATTGTCAACGCATCAATTCGTCGTACTAAGCACTTGTATTTTATTTGCGTGCATACCTGTGCAGCAGCTTCTTCATATCCCGTAGTGCCATTTATTTGTCCTGCTAGAAACAATCCTTTGATTCGACGCGTTTCCAAAGTAGGTTTTAACTCGCGTGGATCGATGTAATCATACTCTACCCCATAACCTACACATCAACACTAGAAGTATTAGATTTGTTTTACAGCTGGGGATAATGAAGGAAGCAGTGACTATCACGAACCTGCTCTCAACATTGTCACATTCTCCAAACCAGGGATAGTCTTTAACAACCGCCATTGGATGTCTTCGGGAAGTGTAGTAGAGATTCCGTTGGGATAAACAACGTGGGTATCAAGGCCTATGTACATAGTATTCAAAATATAAGTATTTCTATTCATGCTCTGGGTAAAATTGATCTTTTTGTCATCACCTTCTGGCTCTAACCAAACAAAGTGTCCACTCTTATCAGTAAATCGTATTACTTTCGATTCAATTGATGGACAATATCTACGAGTACGATGCTCTGATGAGAAAAACGAAAAGTAAATCTAACGACTGGATGACGATGTTACGTACCTTGGTCCTTTAACTGTCTCTCTGATATGTATTGTCTCGGATAGATTATCCAGTATAATCTTATGTGTCTCAGCATTCGTTTTAGTCAAGTAGCATTTAATTTGTTGATTCTAATCAGGAATTGATATAAGCACTTGTCGTAGTGTGATAGGAATCTTGCAATAAATAGTGTTAATACCTCATATGGGACTGTCTTGTGAAGATAAGAGAACGGCGTCGCAGGTATATCACCATTTTGTACCCTCAAATTGTCATAGTTTATAGTACGGCCATCCAAACGAGGTGGAGTACCTTTACATAATGTGTCTAGTTTAGCTGTTGAAAAATTTGGAACCAAAGATACCTGAAATTTATTAAATACCTGTCTTCAGCCTCCCGAGGCGAAAACCGGCCAGTTCAAGTGATTTTGACAGCCCGACAGATGCTTCCTCCCCAATACGACCAGCTGGGTACGCTTTTCTGCCTACTCATTTGAGATTATTGTACGCGAATCATAATTATATGATGGTCAATGGCTTTTCTTATGCGGTATTTTTCATACCAATATGTATTTCTCCTTTCAGAAAAGTTCCTGTTGTAATGACAACTTTTGGTGCGTTTATGATTTCCCCTGATTCTGCAAAAAATATACAATGTTAATACAGTCAATGGTTTGTAAAATTCATTCTAATTACGCTGTGACGCAAAAGCCCACCTAGCTTGACCCCGTTTACACATCCATAAATAGGAACATCCTCTTTCTCAGCAACATGTGAGCCATGCGAGAGCAATATGTCATGCACGCTTCCAATCTTTATTGTCAGATTTGGATAATTTTCTAAACAGTGTTGCATATGTCGCTTGTAAAGTTTGCGATCAATTTGTGCTCGAGGACCCTGAAACAGTTTGATCATAGACAACGCTCTAGTCATGATCAAAAACTTTAAGCGAATGCACTCTCGACATGTCTTTGTGGATCATACATGTACTGCTGGTCCTTTTGATCTATTAAGAACGTGAAATTGTATTCCCGAAAGATCTAATAAGACCACAACAATGTCATATGAGTTGTTAAATCTTTGATGTAATAAAAGATCATAAGCAGTCCTCTGATGCCGTACCCGATATCCTTCCACAGAGACCATCCAACGCATCAATTTCTCTGACGATGATACCCTTGCCAATTCCGCCAAACGATGGATTACATGACATTTCCCCTGTTTGCCCAGTTAGTATAGTTAAACAAATATCGTATCAACAAATTTGTAAAAAAAAAATTTACCTATTGTGTCAAATCTTTGAGTAATTAACAACGTTCGCGCCCCAGTTCTCGCGGCAGCAGCGCATGCTTCTGAACCTGCATGGCCACCTCCGACAACTACGACATCATAATGAAAGACTGGATCATGTGTGGTTGATAAGGTTACTAATGCTCTATTCAATTTAAGAGAGTTCGCACGAGAATGAAGAAAATTAGGGCGAACGCTGAGCTTGAAAAACATTCGGCAATGCTCATATAGATATTTGATAATCAGACGAGCGGATCGAACCGCAATTTTTTAAACGCCACAGAGATCTTGTTCAAGTCGATTGGTCAGATTTGCTAATATCGTATGACGTAACAAATAAGACAATTATATTTTATTGCGAATATTTTAAAAAGACAGGAATACAGTAGATATCAAATTGTTTACATCTTGGATAATAAAAGAAGCTTTCGATAATGGCACGCATCAATTTACTAACGACGCTTTGTGCGGACATCTATTAGCAATTGCACATTATTTTATAGTATGCCATTCACGTGAGTTCCGAGCGGAATGAATGAATATCTTAGCGATTGTTGACCAAATGAGTTTGTTGACTCGCATGGGATCTACATCAACTTGCTAAAAATAACCCACTTTGAATCCAACAGGAGGATTGGAACGAATTGTTTAATCAAATGCGCTTTTCTGTATCACGGCTCCGTAATACATATATTTGTGCATCTGAGGAGATGTTGCAAACATGTCATCCACCCGTTTACACCCGATGTCTTTCTTATCAACAGAACAAATGTTGGAAGAATAATTTCACATTGTAACGCTAAATATTAACGTTTCCCGATTTGAAT